TGACTTCATGGATGCCGGTGTCAAGAGTAGGCACGACAAGAGCCAAGTCATGGTCATAGTTGATAGATTTAGCAAGTATGCTATTTTTGTTCCTTTGCCTGCAGAGGCACGTACAGAGTTAGTGATCCAAAAGTTTTTCGATTTTTGGGTTAGTGAACATGGAGTCCCGTTGTCAATAGTCAGTGATAGAGACAGTCGTTTCACTAGCCAGAACTGGCAGGAGCTGATGCGAGTCTATGGATCTAAGTTGTTGATGTCGTCTGGCCGCCATCCAGAGAGTAACGGTTAGACAGAGCAAGTTCTGCGCATGTACATTAGACCCGATCAGACCAACTGGGACGAGATGTTACCCAAGGTAGCTAGTACATACAATAACAGCATGCATTTGTCCACCTGTCGCACTCCCAATGAGCTGCACAAGTCCCTTCGGCCGCGCAGACCGTTTGAAGGGCTTAACCGGGATCAGATTCACAGGCTACCGCCCAGTACCAGGGAGTTCACGATACACCATGAGAAAGAGATAGCCACTGTTGTTGAAAACCTCAGGAAGGCCCAGCATCGGATGATAGAACAGGCTAATAAGCACTGTCGCCCATCACAGTTTCAGGTAGGCGACCTGGTCTGGGTCAAGTCTAAAGAGTTTGCACCTGAGGAGAACATCTCGCAGAAGTTACTGCCTGCGTATAGAGGACCATGGCCGGTTTTAGAAGTTAAGGGCGGAGAGGATGGGCCGTCCTACACCATAGAGATCTCAGCACACCTCCACACCTACCCTGTGTTTCACGCATCAAAGTTACTGCCGTGTGTCACAAGTCAGCAGTTTCCCTCTAGACGATCCATGATCCCTCCAGACATGGACGGAAGATACGACATTGACGGCATTGTAGGTGAAGATGTGTTCAGGACAGGAGGTAGAGGTTGTCCACAGAAGCAATATAAGGTCCAGTTTGCATACCAGGAACCGGAGGATGACCGCTGGTTCACGAGAGCAGAACTTCTAGAGACAGCTCCCGATATAGGTAGGGCCTACGAGATCAGAGAGGTAAAGGTCCTGCCTTGGGCTGAATTATTCTCGGAGGACCTCGAATTTAGGCCGGCGGGAGTGAAACGGTATTCACCAGTTCGCAGTAGCTGATGCAGATCCCAGGGCTCGATCCCTAGTCCCCACTTTACCTGTGTACAGTACGTGTGTTGACCCGTAGAGTTGAACCCGCAACCTGTGTATTTTTAACAGTTGATAGGTTGTCATAGGGTCCATAGGTTGCAGGGGTTCGATCTGTAGACCTGTCGAAGTAGGAGTCTTAGTCAGGTCTAGAAGTCGTAGCTGTAGCTTTCCCGAAAGGTCAAGGTCGTAGCTGCTACAGTCCGGAAGGGTCAAAGTCGTATTTGCTACAGTCACGAAAGGCCAAGTCTACGGTCTTCCGGAAGGTCCCAGTAGTGGCCTTTCGAAGTTGCCCACGTTTAGACAAAGGCAAGTGGGCAAGTGGTGGAGTCTGCCCGTGCTGAGTCTGCAGTCCCAGTCCTAGGCAGTCCTGGTCCAGTCAAGCAAGTACCGCATGGGACTGTGTGCACTTCGGGCATGGGAAAGGGCCAGACCAACGAGCTGCAGAAGTATAAATCAAGAGGCAGCTCCCAGCCATTCATTCATTCCTGCGTGAGCCATGCGGAAGTGCTGCCACAGCGACTTGTGCAAGGAGGTCTGCAGTGAGTCCGAAGACGAAGCATAGCCATAGCGATAGGATAGAGGCGGCCATAGCTGCCATAGCTGTAGTGAGTGTTCAGTGTGTGTGTGTGAGTGTTCAGAGAGACGCGTGTGGGATATCCAGGGTGATCCGGTGTATGCGAACAGAGAGTTGTGTGGGCGCTATGTCGCCATAGCCAGTTGAAGTGAACTCGTATCTGGGTTGCCATATCTCTGAGTTTTGTGTGGGCGCGTGTCGCCAGTTTGCTGCACTACTGTTTGCATGCATGTAAAGTGTGAATGAAAGCAAGTCTGATTGCATCTCTCTCTCTCTCTCTCTCTCTCTCTCTCTCTCTCTCTCTCTCTCTCTCTCTCTCTCTCTCTCT